TATTAATAATACCAATGCCTTTCGCTTTCACTGCTTCAGAGCGACCCAGCAGTGCCCGTGTCAGTGCTGTACCTCTCCATACAGATCCCAATTAATGCAAGGTAGGGATGAAGCTGTGAGAATGAATATCTAGAACATTTGCACAGAAAGCAAAATGAGCTGTAAGTTTCTCCCTTTGGTAAGCAGATTTTGTTCTCTGAGCTCCTTATGCAGGACAACATAAAACACTTGATACCAGAACTCTGAACTCTTGAGGGATTTGGGCTTTTCAGTAGTTACACTCACACAGTCAATTGCTGAACACTGCTGTGATTTCTGAAAAAAAATAAAATCCACAGGAGTCTTCAACTTATATTTGCTTGCTTGCTTTTACAGTTTTCAAATAAGCATTAAACAATGCCTGTGCCAACTTGTTTCACTGCAGGCTCAGTTAAGCCCAATTAGGGTTGCTAGGAATCTGAGCAAACTGAATCAAAGAGGAACTTTGGAAGAGACTAAGCAACAGCAACATTGATGAGACTCTACTGCTTATTTGTATGCATTAATCCAAGCAGCTTCTCAAATTTTAGCCGTAATACATAGCATGCACCAAACAGTGAAGCTGTTAGCAGAGAATGCTGGTGTTGTGTAAGTACAAACCCACCATTGGGTCTGTGGAAAGGCTGCACAGAGTTTTTTGTTCAATGGGCAACGGTGGTGTTTGGCCTTCCATACACAGGAGACTACAAATATATCAAGGTATGATTTTCAGAAACTAGGCATCCCTGGGGAGCCCTCGCTGCTCAGCAACAATGAAAACCATTCCCATCAGTATTATTTATATTGTGTAATAATAGCATATTACTTATATATGGACTCAATATCCCTGTGATGAATGGGTTATTAAAATACCAATGGATAGGTCAGGAATACATCAATATTTTAGCAGCGCTGGCTATCTACCAAGGCTATGCTGAATCATATGTTTTCTTGTGCATGGAAAAGCCTGGAGAAAGCTGCAATAACTGTCTGAAGTGACTGAAGGGATATTTGGAAGGGAATTCAAAGCCTGCAGTAAATAGTATTTTCCTTAAAAAAAGTCAATATTGATTCATGAAAGAAAAAGAAGATGAAAAGTGATCCAAGCAAACTTAAAACAGAGACCAGTACCAAAGAAATTAAAGGGAATGACAGGCTGCACCTTTGACCTTAAGACAACAACCCGTACACGCAAGAACAATGTAGGAAGAGTAGCTGCAGGGGGGTTGAAAGGGCAGTGAGCTCAGCTGCATGCTGGTGCTGAGCACCCTGCACGTCCCAGTGATTAGCCTCTGCAGCCATGGGACATGGATGCTCATGTGCACAGAGCTCAGCAAAGCATTTCCAAGAAGTCTCCTGCAGCTACTGAAGCTTCCAAAGAGAGTCTAAATAATGGCAGGACAGGAGAAAATGAGCTGCTTAAATGAGCTGAACGCTCATCTTATAAACTGAAAATGAAATCATGTCAGTCATGACAATGAAAGACTGAGAATAAGAAATGGGGAATCCTGCAAAACTGAGGAAAGCCATGGCAAGGGAAAGGCATACCTCACTGCAAAGGACATCTGCTCAACATCATGGCATTATTTAATGGACATCACCCTGCTAACAGACTGCAGATGTACTCCACAAGAGCAAGTACAAGCCATGTCGTCGTACATCTGTTCTAATGCTAAGACCTTTCCAATGATATTTGTAGTGATATTTGAGCAGGTAAACATGCCCTTAAGTCTGTAAGAAGGAAAAAGCTAACAGAGAGTTATTGAGAGGGAATGGCAAAGACAGCTCTGGTACAGTCAGGGCACAAGTACTGTGCATACTAACAGGGCTCTGAAAGAAACAGTGCTCTCTCTCCCTGCTCAGGAAAGTGTTTCTGCATGTGTTTAACCTCACCACCATGGATAACTCAGTGCTTCAGCGTCTGCAGAGCTGGGACCGTAAATATGCTTGTGGCTGATGTTTATAGTAGTGCAGCAGCCCTTGAAAGAAGAAATCAAAGCTTCCTCCTTCCCAAAGCTTTTGTGCTGTTGCTACAGACCACACAGTAATGCTAACACTTCCTCATGCTAAATAAATTACACTAGTTGATCCCTGCAGTTGGAACTGCTAGAACAAGTATTCTTCTGTATTTCTATATTAAAGTTACACATTTTTTCTACCATGTATTTGAATGTATTTTTACATAGTAAAAATTTTAGGGTTCCAGTCTCTGAAAGTAGCATATAATAAATCAACTGGAAGCTACAGAAAATTATCATGCTGCCTAACTCCTGGAAGTTGAGTTTGTTTGAAGTTATATTTATTCAATACTACCACAACTTTGTTCTTTGGTTATGACTTCCTCCAAAAGAAAAACATCTCTTAAGGACTGATACACAAAAGGTTGATTTAAACATAATTGGAATAAATAAGACCTTTCCTAGGTAAGAATACCACGAGATGGACTGTAGGTGGCACTAAATTAGGTCTGGAGCATGACCTTTCAGGCTACATGCTGCTGACTGACTGATCACATGGTAACAGCTTCAGCAGCGACTACCTGTCAGCGGAGTTTTGGAAACTCAGCTAAGTGCATGCTCTCAGCTCACCACAACTGCAGGCAAAAACGTAATAGCTTTCATCTTTATAAGTCTAAATGAGTTATGGAGCTTGATGGATGGGAACTCGTTATGCCCCCGTAATATTCTCCTAGTCTAAGGCACAACCTCCCAGCAAGTAGGGCTTAACAGACAATGTCATGTCTCCTTCCTAATTTCTGTTTTTATATGTGTATACAAACTCTGAAACACTAGGAATCAGCTTCTGATTTCACATTAACTTAAAACTGGTGTAACTTCAATGACTTTAGGGGAATTTTTCTAATTTACACTTATGCCAAATCAGGTCTTATGAACTTCATATATAAAGAGAAGTGGTTTTAATATGTAGATATAATTTCTTTTTCTTATATAAAATTGATTGCAAAGGAAACTTAATTACATTTAGCCCATCTGTAGTTGTCAGATTAATTAAATATTTCTCTCTGCACTTATCTCTAATTGTAATGTCAACAGAGCTGTCCTAGTACGTTATGTTGCCATTAAAAAAGAAAAAGAAAATTACTTTAAAAACCTGCAGTGAAATGATGTTAAGTCTGCCTTAAACTGACAAATTCAAGGAGATTTAGAGTTAAGACTGCCAGCTCTTTCAGTAACTCACCGTTACTGCAGAATATACATGTAAAGCATAGAAAATCACAATACAGAGCTGTTTATATACAGCCAGTTCACAGAGTGTATCAGAAAATGGTTTACACACATTAAAGCGAAAACAGAATTTTTGTGGGCAGGTTTAAGAACGTATGCAAGTGAGTCAGTGGCTTGGACAGCAGGGGACAGCACGAGACAGATGGGAAAGCAGGTGGGGGGCAGTGATCCCAGCTGTGGGACCTTGTGTGAAAGGGATACACAGCGGCATAGAGGAGCCGGGAGAGTGGGCAGAGACATGGCTGTCAGCGGCCTTGGAAATAAGGTGAAAAAGGAAGGATGAGGGAGAAATAAGGCAATTTTGAATGGGATTCAGAAAAGAGGATGCCTTTGCCAAAGGACAGTGTGGTATTAGAGCCCACAGGAAACAAAATCAGAAGGTCTCAAAATATATCTGTAAATGAGGAATCATCACTGAGTCAGAGTGTTTCTATTGAGGTCCCATAGTGACCTCAGCTCTTGGCCCTCAATCAAGCCTAGTTTATCAATGACCTAGAAGAAAATAGACAATCGTATTAACTTTTGACATGATGTTGGGCCATGAGACCTCACCCAAGACACTGAGATGGTCTGTAAGCGTGACACAGTAAAATAGACTACATTTCAACACATTCCAGTATACAGTCTAAGGAAAAAAAAAACATAAGCATGTTTGGGGCAGATGCATTTATACACTGAATGAGAAACCTGCACAGCTTCAGGAAAGGGGGCAAGCCCGCTGTGAAGGATGGTAACAAGTAAAGGATAGGAAAGCAATAGCCCTTCTTGACTGTCCAGTAAATCAAGTGTTCCTAAAAAAGATTGGAAGAATACTTAATCTGAAAACAGCCAATGAGGAATATTGTGACTTTTCTGCCACTGGAAAGTTTGAAGTAAAGACTGGATGTTTATCCTGAAAAAACACATTAGAATGTACTAGAATGAACTGCTGGAAATGAGGCAAAAACTAATCATGAAAGAAATGTGTTTTTCTCACTAATCCTAAAATTTACACAGCTCTGAAATGAATCAAGGCTACAGAGATCAGAGGTAGGGAGCACCTAGCAGCAAATAACCTGGTTCAATTGGTGGAAAAGAGTGAGTGATTATTTTAGCACAGGGCTCTCTTTATAGTACTTTCAAAAAATTACTTATGCATTACCTTCTGCATTAGCTTATTCATCAGTCATTCAAATATAGGTCCGGATAATTGCAAGAACTGTGCTGTGTCTCAAAGGTAACATTAAGAAACAGATTAACAATAACAAAAATAATCTCTGAATGTATGCTTTATGTTTGCAAATACATTCACTTATATTAACATAAGAGTGAATTGCGGATGCATTTTGACAGGCATGGACTATTAAGATAGTGTGTTTTTCATTTGCCTATCCATTGGATATCCCTGTACATGAGGTATAGTGGGTATAGTGGAAAGGAGGTGAAAGAAATGACTTGTTAAAAGGGGTGTTTTTTAATTATTATTTATTTTATTATTTATTTTTTTTCCCAGAAAACATTCAAGTGCTAGAATGATGGGTGTGGCATATACATATATTCTGCCTTGAAGAACACCTAACACACAGGTATATTCCCTCACTACACTGGTTCAGATCAAGTCAGTGGAGCAACTATCTTGTGTAAACAAACACAACATTGGCAGTCTGTGATAGAAAGGAAAACATACACCAAAACTATAGATTCAGGTGGGAATTGAGGATGTGACAAATAAACAGAGACATGAATTATGTATCATACCTCCATCATTGTCCAGGTTATCTCCACACACCATTTCCATGACAACGTTACATCCTGAGCCACTCCAGCCCACTTGACAAACACAGTGCCATCCATTCTGATCAAGAGTGCACCTGCCATTTCCATAACAGAGACCTGGGCAGCCATCTAGAAGTAAAAAAAGCAAAAAGCAAAAAGCAAAAAGCAAAAACAAACAAAAAAATCTCCTTCACCATGGAGGAGTTTTCTTTTCATTTTCTTCTCTTCTTTTAAAGTTGCAATTATTCAGTAACACTCTTTAATGTAGTATTACACTTGCTGCCTTCCAACAACAGCAACACAGATCCTTTGCAAGCCATTCATACTCTTACCTAAATATGGAAAAATCCCCATCCTGCTCGCTCTTTTTGCTTGCCCTGAAATCACTTCTCATTGAGAAATGAGCATTTTTTTAGCATGTGCACATGAAAAAAAGTATGTACATGTGTAAGAAATTACTTAACAGCCCATCCCTGTATCCATCCCTTTCTCTGTGTATGGAAAGATGTATAACACAAGAGAATGTATATACATGCACTATACTCAATGTTGCTATCAAAGGTATACATGGAAAATATTATTTAAATGACAAAGTGGCATTTTGGAACATAAACCTATACACTGCAGGGAGTGGAGGTGATCTTTTTATTCTCACCATAAAGATTGAGATGAACGAGAAAAAGGCAATTAGATTCATTCTACAATGCAGTAACTCTTCCTACAGAAGGAAAATAAGGGAGCATTTCCTTTCAAAGTCCATTTCTACCTCCTTCGCATTACAGATGATTCAAATATGACAAATGCTTGCCCTTCAGTGGTTTTGGTTCTAGATCAAAACTAGAGCAGCGACTGCAGCATCCCCTGGATTGTATGCCTTTAAACTATTAATTAATTGTACTTTGGATGTTTTCAGCTAGATCTCTTGCCTATAACAGTGACTGAAGAGTTGTCTCTTGGATGTGTACACTCATGGCCTGCTTTCATAGATTAGTGCCAACACAGACATTTGTCAAATCCTCACCATATCACAAATGGAGCCAAAGGACAATGGATAAAGCCCATCTTAACAATGCAAGCAGCATCCCTCCTAAGTGTTCTCTTCTCTCTTTGGTAGCATGGATTTACAGGACTCAAATGCTCTCCTGTACTTGAGAGTGAATATTGACACTTAAGTGTTACCAGGGGGAATTTGTTTTGAGGAAGAAAGAAAAGGCCTCAGAGATGCTCCAAGAGGACTTGGAAGAAGCTGACCAGAGAGTCAGAGAATATTTACAAGTGATCTGGTGGGTTGCAGCTTAAACACCAGAATGTAGCACATTTCCCAGCAACTTCACACTAGACACATCATCTGAACAGTTTATCTACCACATCTGCAAAAAAGGAGAGAGGAGAGTCTGAGACTCCTGCTAGGAGGAGCTGGAGACAGGTGGCATCATTTTGTCACACTGGAACTCACTGCTTTAAAAACAGCATGAGGTCAGCAACCACCAGATATACCATAAAACCCTATTATTTGCCTCTTTTGTGGAGCTGGGAGAAAGGATGAGATTTGTCCTCTATCTAAAGAAACTTCAAACACAACTGACAAAAAATATATATTTTTTTCTTCTCACAGAAGACAGGATCAAGACATTTTTTTCTAGCAAGTCCTCAGCTCTGTCATTACTTTGGAATGGCAAGTAAGAGCAAAAACCTGATTTACCTACAATCAGATGGCCACATGAAATATGCTTATATTTCAAATATGTGTGCTTATACTTTGCAAATGAGTTGAACACTTTATTTGTTAAAAACTGCACATTTTTGTGTAAATCTCTCTCTGTATATACATATATCTCCATGAACAAACAGTTGATCTATTTTGGCAAGTTAATGGTACAGAAGCTTGGACAAAACAGATAAAACACTCCATTCCCAATACTTTTGTAGCTTTTCATTATTCTTTTGCAATGCTGATATGAAAAACTTACCTCGAACAGCATCTAAGTAGTGAGCTTAAAAAAGAAAAGAACAAAACTGAGATGGATTGAACTTCTGTATCAAAATGAAAATACAGAAACCGTTTGCTTATGGCTTGCCACCTGTTGGTTAGACATAAAATGTCTCCCTTGTACTGCAGTCATACCTATTCCTACTACTGTGATCAAAACACACTGCGTGCAATGTGATCATTCTCCATTTGATGACAAGCATGCAGAGGACAGCTTGGGCCCCTCATGGCAGAGTCTACAATGTGAGTAACGGGGACACAGAGCTCTTTTTCTCTTATTATAGATTTGTTCTTTCTGGATCTGCTCTACACAACCTCTACAAAATTATGCCATTTCTTCTTCACAGATCTAAATCCAGATTTAGAAAATATGATTTTGTTAATTCTAGAGCCTGAATGGCAAATTAATTATCTTAATTATTATTTATCTTAAAATGATAAAAATTAGAATCATAGAATCATAGAATCATAGAATATCCTGAGTTGGAAGGGACCCTTAAGGATCGTCAAGTCCAACTCTTGACACCGCACAGGTCTACCCAAAAGTTCAGACCATGTGACTAAGTGCACAGTCCAATCTCTTCTTAAATTCAGACAGGCTCGGTGCAGTGACCACTTCCCTGGGGAGCCTGTTCCAGGGAAGTAGATTGTTAAACAATCTACTTTATTCAAGAAGCAAGCCTAAAAGCTTACGCTGCATATTTCTGAAAATTATATACCCTATGCATATAAGCAATTAAAATATTAACAAATAATATTGCTGTGGGTCACTTTAGAGAGAAACACTGTTAGATTTTTGAAAAAAAAACAACACTACAAAACAACTGTTGCATTTCTTTAGAAATATAACTATTACATTTGTGCAGTAGAGAAATGACTTTTGAAAAGATTTGAAAGTTTTACCTTATTAGGAGTATTGTTAGAAGCCAGCTATAGAAAAACCACCTCTAGTAATACGTAAAATATGTAAATCCTCAGACATGAAGGCAAAAGATTTAATGCAAGACTTACTTAAGCTGAATAACAGCTTCATCCCCTCACACCTTCTATTTCTTACACATTTTTCCCTTTTTCATCCACGACTCACGGTTCCTATATGAGCACAACCCAGTGATATGTTAAACACTTTGTGTGCTTTTAAAAAAAATATTATTAATTCTTCAATGTTAATTCCTCTTAATAGAATGCTCCACTGATTTGCCACTCTGTTCCCGACTCTGGCTCTCTGTTTTTCCAGAATGTGACTTAAACCACACTGGTGGCTCTTTCAGATCGTTGTATAACTGGTTAAGGCTTTATTAAATTTATTTCTAGAGGTAAAAGGAAACCCTTACCGATGGTGCAGTGGTCCCCTTCCCATCCAGGACTGCACTCACACTTCCCGTCTTTGCACTGGCCGTGCTCAGCACAGTGCGAGTGGCAAGTGCGCTCCTCGCAGGTGGGTCCCACCCAGCCCTCTTCACACTGGCATATCCCTCTTGAGCAGACCCCATGGCTGCCACAGTCCAGGGTACACAGCTCTGCAGAGGATTACAAAATACATAATGTGAAACAAGCAATTTCATACTGCAAATACGCTTTGCACTGACACGAAATATAATCACTTCTATATTAACACCAATCATCAGCTGGATCAAACAGGGGATTTTGTCACCTGGTAGAGAATTTACACAATCTGGCTGTATCCTTCTTTAGCAGTTACTTGTCAGGTCATTTATTTGCTTGGGCTGGGGACTGCAAATGATAGTTTTGCACATGGGAGGTCTCAAACGGACCATCAGTGGCACATTCCCAGGGCCCACTGGCTCATTTCTGAAATCTCTTATAAACTCAAACACCACCAGTAGGATGAGTGGCCTGCTAAATACATAAAAGCAAAACAGTCTTTGAGATATTCAAATGTCTGTAATGGTGGTAAAATGGAATTCTCTTTCAGTAGAAAGAGCCACCAGGAAGGTGCCAGCACCCATGACCATGGCAGCGTACAGCATCACGACTTGCAGGCCACCCACAGTTCTGCCTAGTTCTGAGACAACTTTCAAGGTCTTTTTTGTCTTTTTTCTCCTTCCTGACTGTCACAAGACACCTGCTAGGAAGGCCGAGAGGCTGTTGCAGGGAGCCAGGAGCACCTCCTGCACTGTGCTATGAGCAATTCCCCTACCTGGGCAGAGCAGAACAGTGCTTACAGCGAAGTGGAAAAAAAGTCCTGAATTGTTTCAATACATCACTATATGCCAATTGCGATTCTACTTCCACTTAGACTAATGTTGTTCTGCAAAAAGAATGGCTTCATTATAAAAGAGTTCTGTGCAGTTTGAATTTATGTAGAATAATTTGTGTCAGGAGACAGAATTTGCTTGTTATTCTGCAATTAACCTGCCACAGAAACGTTTCCTCCTTCTTCCTCTCGCAAAGCAGCTGATAGTACAAGTGTGAGCCAAATAACTGTGTCTGCTCTGATTTCAAATGTCAGTGTTACATATTTAGTTGTGGAAAGATTTTTCCCTTGACAGATCTTAAACAATGATCATTTATATCCTGGAACTATTGTATATAAACATTCTTAAAAGCATTTGTAGTGACAAATGCTGTCACTGAACATACCAAGCCAAGTTTTTAAAGTTGAAATTGAAATCTGATCAATTTTTATCATTTCAACATAAAGAGGAAAGCAGCACAGAAACTGAACCACACCATGACAGCGCAGATGTGCCTGGGCTCTATCTCGAGTCAGGTCCTGGGCCCTCTTTTTGTTAGCAGTCTGAGTGATGCATGGAGTGCAATTGAAAGATTTGTGAGGGACAAACTGGCAGAGTGGGGTCAAACTCAAAATCACTTTCAGAAGCTCCAGACGTGGTAAAGAACCTGAGATAAAATACAATGAAAGCAATTGCAAAGTAGTGTGCCTGAGAAAGTCATAATCAACTACATAAAAATAATTGATTTTACTATTCAGACAGGGTCCTGAGTTATATGGGAGTGCCAGATAAACACAATTATCTGTTGCTATTCCCACAAAAGAGTAAATTATATGCCCTTTCGTATGTAAGACAAGGAAAGAGACTGCTCTGCTACACTCCACTACAAAGATGCCTCAAACGAAAAATCTCTGCTGAGGCTGGGGAATTACACTCTAGAAAGACTTGATTGCTACCTGCTGATCATGTATTAATCTAATCCTTCCTGTCTTGGGCCACGTGCCCTCAGGTACCGGGCAGGATTTCTTATCCCTTGCTGCATAATTTGGCTTGATTTTTTATTTTGTTACTTGTTTGGTCCTTGGAAAGCTGGGAGTGTGCTCAGAGGGCAAAGGACTGCAGAGGAGGACTTGCTTTGGTACTTCCTTGGTATTAAATTCAGTCAAACACTTCTTGGTCCTAGGATCAGGAAATAAACCGATCCCATGAGATTTGGGATCACAGAAACATCTGCCCCTCAATCCATGCCCCTTGGCCAGCCTGGCAGAGGACCACTGGCATTACTTTGACTTACCTTTACAGCCCAGGGCAGAGGCAAACTCCTGAGAATTAAATCTAACAAATTACCAGCTGCATCACGGATATAGACTGCTAGAGGGATGCCTTTGATCTCTCCTCATCTCCCTGTAGTTCATTATAATTATAGCTTTTGGTATTTTACTCTAAGTGGCATAGATTGTTAAGAGGATTTTAAGAAATGTTCTGTGGCTTATACTATACCAGGATAAATGGAATAGTGATTTTTTTTTTTTTGACCCTTCTGGATTGACTGCCTACTAGTGTTGTGCAGTTGTGGGACTGGCTTAGTTCAACCAATGTCAAAACTCCAGGGAACACTCTAGGCATCAGCACACACACATGTATTCATGGCAGTGCAGGCTGGAAAGGTTGAACCGGAGCAACTAAGTGATCTTGTCAGCAGCTCAAGCAGCTACCTCTACTTCTCTAACTGTATATAAATCAAAGAACCAGCTGCGGAAAATCCTGAACACTTTCCTGTACCTGGCATGCACCCTGCCTTCCCTCTGTCTGCCTACCCAGCAGTCTGGTCTGCATCATCCAAAGGAACCAAAGAAATGGCAGCAGGAGGAGATGAAGGCACATCCCTACAATGGGGATGTAGACCTTGAGCACATTTCCATTTTATAATCCAAGGAAATGGACTTTACATTTTCCCATTGTTTTCCCCATGTTTTCAGACTAATTTATCTACATCAAACAAGGAATACAATGTTTACACACTACTTAAGCCCATGAATTCAATTAGATTAATAAAGTGGAGATAAAAGACTTCCTCTCTCTTCAAAGAGCAACCTAGACCACTCAGTACATACCGTAAGCACCAGATTAGAAAAAAAAAAAAAGGAAAAAAAAAAAGAAAAGAAAAAGAAGTGTTTAGTTTCTTAGTTTGGAACAGACACTTTTCTCAGTGGCCCTAGTCATCCAGCTGCTCAGCCCGCTCATTCTTTATGGTCACCGAGGCCAATTTTCAATGATTTAATACAAGGTTTTACTGTGATGTTTACTGTGATAATGCTGTCTTCTGCCAAGCAAATCCCAGATTCTCCCCAGACTTCTCAAGCAAAGCAAGGAAACCAAGCCTAACATTATTCTATTTGTGCCATGGTAGTACAAACAGCTTTAATTCACAACTGATACAAATAACTGAGATTTTTTTTTTTAAAAAAGGCGTTATTAATTCAAGTTGTTCTGTTTTTAAATGCAAAAGAATTAAAGAATCCCTTAGTTCCTCCTGTAGATAAGCAAGTACAAAAATATCTGAAAATATCTAGCAAACTAGACACAATGAGACACTGAGTGGATATTTACCACGTAGGAAATAAAACAACAACTTGAATTAGGTAAATGGCTTCAACACAAGCTGATGAGGTAAAAATTCAGACAGCATTGAAATCATACAATAAGACATCAGACATCATGCAACTGCTCTGCTTATTGGAGCATCTTCCTCTTTGCATAGCAGCTGGCCCTATAGGATTCAGAAGCACCCCAAAATGCAGTGGGTGCTCAGCAAGGAGTCAGATCAGCAAGGCAATGGCTTTGAGCTATGGGTAGGTGCAGCAGCTGAGCCACTCAAAGATTTTACCTCTGCTGGAAACAGTTATTGCACTCCCCTTCCTCTCCACCCATCTCCTGGCTCCGTGGGCTCTGTCTGGAACTTATTATCTGAAACTGTGGTGAGCTGATTCATATCATCGTACTGGCAGATAATTATTCACTTTATTTTTATGGGTTAATACCTGACAGCTTGCTGAGCTGAATCAACCCACTGAGGGATCAGAGGAGCAGCACAGGTAGGGGAAGGGAAGATGTGCAGATCCTAGCTTGAATGGGGACTGCCCTGCTGAGAGCCACAGCTATGCCCCCAGACAAGACTGCAAAGGACGAGAGCAAGGGGGAGGTATTTAGGGTAATGAAGGAGGCAAATGACAAGAGATTACAATTTGGATTAGTAAAGGGGACTCTGGGGCATGTTGTATTGCAAGCCTTTACTTAGGCTTTTAGATCAATTGTTCTCACAGTGCATGGTGCAGTGCATAATTCGCAAGTCCCTCAATTGGTGGTCAGGTTTGTGGACTTGTGTAAAAGCCTTCTCTCTTCTCTCCTGCTCTTTACCACAGTTAGTGGGACATACTCCTGCCTGATGCCTGCCTGAGCTCCAGGCAGCTCTTGAGCGCTTGCATAGGGCTGGAGGCTGCTCTGTGGCCTGGAGACCAGCTCTGCCATAGCTGTGAATTTTCTCTGCTCCCATGAAACCAACAGAGTCACCCTAATTCACACTAATTAAGGGCCACGTTTCAGTTTTTGTACCTGCACACTTGGCAATCAAACCCAGGTTCTCTAAGTGTAGAGCTGGAAAGTTAATTTCCTTATTTAAATAAATGTCACCTGTGCAGATTGACTGCGAGCAACATGCTGGCAAATTGCTGGTAGCTAGCCCCAGCCAACCCCTGCCGTTTCTTATAGACTTTCATGAAATACAGTCCTTATCAAATCTAAAATTCAGATTCCTCAGACTTAAATCAATTAATGAATAAGACACTTAAAAAATTTTCAACTCGAGCAGTCTGGAATCCTTACTGACATGTTCCTAATTCTGAACGTTCATTAATTTTCTTGGAAGAAGGCAAATACGAGCTGTGAAGCATTATTTGTACATATTCTTGAGAATGAGACAAATATGTTGATCATTCCTGAGCTAATCGAAAAAGCATTAAAAATTCACTCCACACTCATCATTTTAATTATGTAAGTCAACAATGAGTTCTTTTAAATGTGTTTTATAATAAGTTTCTACTTATGTGATATGAAAAGGGAAATTAAAGCTAAATATTTTATAATTTGCAATGATAAGGGAAGATTTTAATGTTAATTCAACACATTTCAGGAATAACTCAGAAAATCATGCTATGAGTACAAAAATATATGTAAACCAAAAGGGTCAAAAAATATGAAAACACTTTCATTTTACTTTTTTTTCACATTCAATGGTGAGTTCTGTCTAAACCCTTAAGTATCAT